TTTTTTTTTTTTTCTCCCCTCTATTTTTATCCATTTGCTCCTGGACGTAATTCTCCCTCCCGTGCTGCGGTGGCGCTAAACCTATTTTGCCCTCCTACCTCGCTTCCTGGTTATACTCTTACAGCAGTGTGTTGCAGTGAGCTTGACGCAGACATTTTTAAATTATGCTCAGTATTGAAGCGTGGTCTGAGCTACACGCTGTGGGTCTAGATACGGCCGAGGCGGCGAGGAAGTGGGGGCGAGTTTAGTCCGAGGGACATGAGGGCCAAAAAGAGCTGAGATCCAGCTGGAAAAAGGGTCCCAGCGTTCTCGCGCACCTCACTCTTCTAGCTGGTCAAACTTCACGAGTCGTTTTCCGCAATTTCGGTCATAAAAACAAAGCAAGCCGGCCTCCTGTCTGCGGCACTGTCTGCGGTCAGCTACAATTTGGGAGAGGTGCAGCGGAGCGTCTGTGGAGGGGCGGGGACGTCTGGAGCCGAGGTATTGAATTGCACTGATTATGTGCAGTATTTTTTGATGCAAAGCCTTGCAGAATCTATAACTCAGTGGTATTATTTTTCAGTGAATGAGGTTTTAATAGGAATAGGTGGAGTGCAACTTTTCTACTTCTGTTATTTGCTGTTGTTTCTAAAAAAAAAAAAAGAACGATATTACAGCTTTCATTGATTTATTTCAAATTTGAAACATTTTTTAGCCTGTAAGGTGCAAAAAAAAAAAAAAAGAAATAGAACCAATTAATCGAATTGTATCGTGGTGTATTCCTGAGTATCGAAAATAATCGAATCGTTGGGTCAGGAAATCGATACTGAATCGAATCGCCATGATGGGTGTGATTTACACCCCTAATAGGGACCATATGGACATGTCACCACCAAAATATTGGACCGACCTACTTGTCCCTACCAATAATTCAATGTGAATAACATGTTTATAATTTACAATACAGCTTTGCTGCAGCAGTGGCTTCTTTTCCTCTGGCAGCTTCAGGTGCAGCCGCTCCGTCTCACTACCTGCCCGCTCTTTTTCATAGTTTTTGCATTGGACCAACGAAACTAAAGACCAATAGTGTCCCTACCAAAGTTGAAATCAAACCTACGCCCTTGTAGATGTTATAAACAGGGTTCCTGCGGGTCCTTAAAAAGTCTTAAAAGGCATTGAATTCTTCAAAATAAAACTAAGGCCTTAATTGGTATTAAAATGTCTTAAATTAGTCTTTCGTAGGTCTTATTTTTTTAAAGCATTATAAATAAGCTTATTT